CCAAGACTATACACATAGACTGCTGCAGGTGGAAGACACAGAAATCAAGTGGACTACATCTGTGGGAAGAGAAGATGGAGGAGTTCAATATCAGCAGCTAAAACCAGGCCAACTGTGGGAACACAACCCCAATTCTTTATATGCAGATTCAGAATGAAGAACAAGTCCACGAGAGCCAAAATATGACCTGGAATCTATCCTACCTGAGTTCTGAGATCATCTCAAGAACAGACTTGACTATTAAACACGAATCACAGAAGACCCGCTGAGCTGTGGGAGGGCATCAAGAGCAACGAATAGGAAGAAAGCAAGGGGTCATTTTAAAAACCAGGAAAGGAAGACATGATCAAAGTGGAAGTAGGAAGAGATCCTAAAACTTGCTCTTGATCGTCGAGTAGCAAAGGCAAATGAAAGAAAGGATGAAAAGAACTGAACAGAAAATTTCAGAGTAATGAAATGTTCAAGACCCAGAGTTAGAACATGCTCAGCGTAGCTCAAACTAATGAAAACGTTCAAGCCTGGAGTGGTAACACGGAAAGATTTTATGGGCAGAACACTGAACGCTGCGGGAAGTATCAGAGGAAGATGGAGAGACTCCCCTGTACCCAAAAGAACAGTCGACATTAGGCCATTTCAAGAGGCAGCATGTGATTAAGAACCAATGGTGCTGAAGTCCAAGTCAACAACAGAGCTCCGGGAGCTGACACCATACCAATGGAAATGTCTCAGGAAGCTGAGGAAGCACATTCCCCTTTGTCAAGAAGTTTGGAAGGCAGTCACCAGGCCAACTGACTGAAAAAAATCCCTATGTGTCCTCATTCCAAAGAAAGGTGACACAACAGAATGCTCAAAGCATAGAACAATACCATTGATATGACATATAAGTAACATTTTGCTGAAGATTATTCAACAATGGTTGCAGCAGTACCACTGACAGGGAGCTGCCAGAAATTCGGCCAGACTCAAAAGAGGGCCTGGAACAAAGGGATATGTCATTGCTGATGTCGGATGGCCCTTGGCTGAAAGCAGAGAGTAGCAGGGAAATGTTGACTTGTGTTTTATTGGCTGTGCAAAGGCATTCAACTGTGCAGTGGATCTTAACAAACTGGGTAGCCTTGAGAAGAATGGGAATTCCAAAACACTTGATGGTGCTCATGTAAAACCTGAAAATGGCTCAAGAGGCACGTGTGTGAGCAGGACCACCTGGTTTAAAATCAAGAAAGGTGTTGCAACAGGGTTGTATCCTCTCACGGAGCTTGTTCAGGCTGTATTTGGAGCAAACAGTCAGAGAAGCTGGGCTCTAAGAAGAACACAACATCAGGAGTGGAGAAAGGCTTACCTACCACCTGCAATATGCAGATGACACAACCTGGCTTATGGTGTGAGGAGGACTCGAAGTCCTTGCTGTTGAAGATCACAAATGGCAGCCTTCCATATGGAAAACAACTTAATGTACAGGAAAGAGAAATGATCACAGCTAGACCCACACCATGCTACAGCGAGAAAAGACTGAAGTGGTCAAGGACTTCTTCTGACTTGGATCTACAATCGATGCTCATGGAAGCAGACGTCAAGAGATCAAATGGTGTACTGCATCTGGGTAATCTGCTGCCCCAAGACCTCTTGAAAGTGTTGACGAGCAAGGATGTCACTCTAAGGACTGGGGTGCACCTGACCCCAGCATGGTCTTCTCAGTGGCCGCATGTGCCTGTGAAAGTTGGATACTGAAGAAGGAAGCCTGGAGAAGAATGGATGCCTTTGAATGATGGGGCTGGCAAGGGATACTGGAAGTACCACGGACCGCCCCAAGAACAAATACCTCTGTCCTGAAAGAAGTACGGCCAAAGTCCTCCTTGGACGCAAGTATGGTGAGAATTCATCTCATGTGCTTTGGACATGCTGTTGAAAGAGAGAAGTCCTTAGAAAGGGACATCATACTCGGTCAAGGGTCAGTGTAAGAGAGGAAGACCCTCACCAAAATGGACTGACATGGCGGCTACAACAATGGGCTCAAACAAAAGAAAGGGGAGGATGGCTCAGGACCCAGCATTGCTTGTTCCTGTTGTTTTAGGGTCACTGTGAGGTGGGACAGACTCATTGGCACCTGAGAAAAGCAACCTGGCTTGTGAACACTGGCAGAGTGGAGTTGTGCCAGAGACCATATTGTCTACAATATTGATACCTGGCTGCTTACACTAAACGTTTGCCAACCCCTGCCTGAGAATTTCTCACCTGAGTGAGTCTCACTTCCGCAGTTTCCCAAAGTGGGCCTCACTGCTGCCCATGGGCTGCTGGAATGATCGGGGTTGGTGGTGGGTGCTGCAGTAACAGATACCTAGACTTTTGGATCATGGGCTATAGCATTAAATCTTTTCATTGCCAGGTGGGAGCTGGGTAATTTTTAATGAAAGGAGGCAGTAGGTCAAACACATTTGAGAACCTGTGTTCTAATCTAGAGGGTGCAATAGTTTGTGGAGGGAAGACCACGAGGCCCCCATGTGAATGCCGAATATGGAATATCTGCTTGGAGGGCCAGTTTCTCTCGAAGATAAGCCATCGCAAGCATGCCCTCAAATGGGTTCAGATTCATAGCCACCCTGGAGGACAGGATACAACTGCCCTGTGGGGTTTCCACAGCCATCATTGCTAAGAAGGCAGCCAGCCATGTCACGTTTGCAGCTGGTGGCTTTGAACTACCAACCTTTGGGTTAGCAGCCAAGCACCTGTAACCACTGCGCCACTTGGGCTCCTCAGCAAAGTAGTGTGTCAAGTTGGTATACATTTCATTTCTCAGGCCTTTCAGACTAGCATGGTTTCTATTCCCTACCTCCCATCCTTTTATTTGTGACCCAAACTCATGGTTACTGAGTGGATTCTGACTCAAGAGTGACCCAATGGGATAGGGTAACATTACCCCGGTGGGTTTCCAAGGCTGTAAATCAACAGGAGCAGAAAGCCTCATCTTTCACCCATGGACCGGCCGGTGAGTTTGAAATGCTCACCCTGAGGTCAGCAGCCCGGGGTGTAACCCACTAGGCCAAGAGGGCTGATTCTTGTTTATGTTCCCCCATTCTAAAGAGCCTCATCGTGTAGGGCAGTGGTTCTCAACCTTCCTAATGCTGCGACCCTTTCATACAGTGCTTCATACAGTGACTCCCCCAACCATAACGTTATTTTCATTGCTACTTCATCACTGTCATTTTGCAACTGTTATGAATCGGGAGACCCCTGTGAAAGGGTCATTTGACCCCCAAAGGGGTTGCGACACACAGGTTGAGAACCACTGGCTCAGTGTGGGGTATGCATTGGGCTGATAATCACAAGGGCAGCAGTTCCAAACCACCAGTTAGTTGCCCCTCGAGCAAAAGATGAGCCATCAGTCTCTGAAAGAGCTCTCACTCGCTGCCACTGAGTGGATTCTGGCGGGGTAGGACCGCCCCTGTGGGTTTCGGGGACATTACGCTCATGGGAAGTAGACCGTCTGTCTTGTCTTTCTCCGCAGGGATGACTGGTGGTTTCCAGCTGCTGACCTTGCGGTTAGAGGGCTCTCTCTGAAGAGCTACCATCTCAGAACCCCACAGGGGCTGTTCTACTCTGTCCTATAGGGTGACTGTGATTTGGAACTGACTCGGTGCCTGTGAGTTGTTTGATTTGGTGGGAAATTTTGAGAAGGACTGCTATATGAAAACCTCAAGTCAGGAGGGTGGGAGGGGGAGCACTTTTGGAATCATTCAGGGCCAGTGATTCACCCTTACATTTGTGGTTATAAACCCACTGGGAAATAGGCTTTTGTTTTGCCTTTTAGGCTATTGGGACAGGAATGGTACAGGCTATGTGACAAGTCACTCTATGCGACAGAAAAGAGGTTAAACATGCAAGCTAGGAAGACAGATGACGTAAGCTGGGTGTCAAGCTAGACGGAGACAGCAGCTTCTCCCAGAGTGGACAGGGAGACCTTCCCCTAGAGCTGGCACCCTGAATTAGGACTTCTGAACCTGCCACGCTGTGAGAAAATAACTCTGTGAGGGCCAAGGCCACCCACCTGTGCTGTTTCTGTTAGCGCCCTCACCAGAGACTAAGCCAATCCCCTTCAAAAACCCTGGCTTACATTTTGCTTTCCAAGCGAGGCCTATTCTGAGCGCAGATTAAGACTACAGACCCACCCCTTGACTTCCTCTTGCCATTGCTCCTTTCCCCCACAACACTTGGCACCTCCTAACACTCCATTATTCAATGGGCTCAGCTGCTACACTTCTGTGAACTCTACAAAGGATAGGGATCTCCCCCCCACCCCCCACAGAGATATAGACTGAACATCGAATACCTAAGAGATGTTCAACAGGTCTTTGCTGAACAAGGGAGTGAATAGAAGGATACATAGCAGCCGAAAAACTGGTAACAGCTCTGATCCTTAGAAAGGGGAGCCGAGATACCGGCACAGGGATGGAAAAGAGATTTATTCTTCAGTAGATACCCCTGTGTATTTTGTACTGTGTGCTTGTATTAACTGGTTAAATTTTAACTAAAGAAACCAACCACCTTTAGCTCTACCAATTGCACGTGAGAACGGGGAGCTCTGGAACTGGAAGAAGTAACGGCCTGGACCCAACTCCTTCTTCTGACATGAGATGACCCAGATCAAGTGCAGAGAAGTCAGGCCACTTGTTAGAGTCACAGTCACAGCCAGGGTTTTGACCTGCGTCTACTGACGCCAGGCCTCCCGTTCTTAACCATTATGCCAGAGAGCGTTGAAGTTTGGGGGCGCTCCTTAGTCACCTTAAATTCATGGGACAGGAACGCGACACTGTGTTGCCCCAAAGGTCATGGTCCGCTTCCATTCCACATGTCCCTCTCACAATGAACTCCAAGTGATGGTCGGAGTCATTTTTGCTCTCCTAAGTTTCTGGCTGTATTGTGTGCGTGGCTTGATCAAGGTGGGAATTCTGGAACCTAGGAAGTCTGTGAGGAGAACTTCACTGTCCAAACCGAGTCTAGAAGCACCTTGTTTCTGAAGCCTGGACTCCTCGGGTGTAGACACCCATAGATTCGTTTTCCAGTGCAGTCAAGAGGTCTAGTGGAGCTACTGGAAGTCTGAGGGCAGGGAGGAATGGGAAGGCACTTGGTTGAATCAAAGGGTAATGGGAGTATTCCCAGGAACTATTAAATGCTGGTTGCTGTGCCTTCCGGACTGGCTGCTGTGCCTTCCGGACTGGCTGCTGTGCCTCCCAGACTGAGATACTTGGAAATGGGAAGTCCTGGGCACCCGGGGCAGGAGGCGGATCCGACGATGTTGCTGCAGCCAGTACAGCATCTCGACTTTGTCACGCTTCATCTTGTCCAGGTAGCGGCGCCCCTTGAAAGTCACTGGCTCTTCAAAGATGAACTCGATCTGCCCCAGGAGGGTCACCAGGGAGGCCTCCACTTGATTGAGCTTGCTCTGCAGATAGCTTCGGATCTGATTCTCCTCCAGCAGGCCTTTCGGGTTCATGTTATGTTTCTGAAAGAAGCGATTGGGGTTGGAGGCTTGCCGCTCAAACCACTCGAGTTTCCCCAGCAAAGCCTCCCGCAGCTGAATGGGCTGCAGGGCCTGCTCCCAGGCGCACAGGAGTGCAGGCAGTTGCTTCAGACGGGCACTGGAGCTGTACTTGATGGCCATGTCCAGTCGGTCTCTGTGAGGAACCTCAAGCACCGACCACAGCTTCTCTAGGCGTTTCTGCAGGCTCGGGATCTGGCAGTATCTCCCCAGGAGGTCCAGCGCCACTGTCCCCAGCCCATGCTGCAGCACTGTGTTGCAATCCCACTCCCCTGGTACAAAGTCCAAGGGCTCTTCTTCTTCAAGTAAGGGGGGAGGAGGCTGCAGCGGTAGGGACTCCCTGACAGGGGCCATCAACTCTGCGTAAGGAAGCTCTTCCTCAGACAGATGGAAGATGGCATGGAGGAAGTCCGTCTCCTGGGTGGCAAGGAACTTGAAATATTCTTCCCCAGACAGGCTGTTTCTCACCCATGACTTCCGGGGAGACTTGCTGGTACTGTACCGCCAGGTCCCGAGTTGATTCACTTGGGGAACGGTGAGGGAGGGCATTTTGTCACGGTAGGCCTGTGATAGATTGTCTGGCTGGTTATAAACGTTAGACAACTCACGGTTGATGATGTGATAGGATTGGTCTTGCTGGACAAAGCCCGAGGACAAGAAGGCCGACCAGTCTTTGTCAGCTGCGGGCTCAATCAGGGGCCCCTGGTCGAAACGTAAGTAGTCCCTAGACACACGGCTCCCCAACTCCTTGTAGATCTCCTGGCTGCTGCTGCCCACGGAGCGGTCTCGATCCATGTCTTCTATAAGTTTCCGGTCCAGTTCACCGGCCAGGTGGTTGTACAGGACACCGGCCCCTTCGACATGGAAGGAGTCTATAAGGTTTCTACAAGAGACTCGGACAGCAGCAACCTGGACCACGAGCTGGTTTCTCAGTCTCAGAGTTACCGTCACTGGCTGTGGGTGGAGCGGAGGGGCTTTGGGGGGCTGGAGGGCCTGCTGGTGGAGGGCTTCCTCCTCCTCTAGGGCTTTCAACTTCTTCTGCAGCTCTCTCAAGCGGTGCCCTGCAGTGGGGTGGTGGGTCAGGGCCCCCAGGAGTGGGGGCAGGTCTGTGTCCAGCGCCAGGTAGTGAGGCCACTTCAATTTGAGTTTCTTCATCTTCTCCTTTAGGTCCTCAGCCACAACATCCCCTGCCAGCTCTGGTCTGCTCTCTGCAACCAGGACCAGAGGGGTTAAGGTGCGGGGCGGGTGTGGGAGAAGACCCAACTCATCTGCCAGCTTCCAGCCCTGTCGAAGAGAGGGCATGGAATGCCAGCGCCGGAGCTGGGTGTAGACGGGGAACCGGGTGGTGGGGGAAGCCTGGCTGGGGGGAGACACTGTGGAGCTCGGCTGTGCCTCCTTCTGGGGGGCAGCCAAGACCACGTCTTTCTTTTTTGGCTGCGAGGCCAGCCAGCGAGATTTTGTCTTGCTCAACTGGGGGATGGCCTTTAGTTCCTTCACCGGATCCACTCCAGGCCCGAGGAGGTATTCTGAAGGGCGGCTCAGGTGGATCAGGTAGTTCAGGTTCAGGTTGGAGCATGGCACCTTGGCGAAACCGGTGCTGTGAGGCCAGGGGAGGGGGCAGAGCTTGAAGGCCTGCATGGGCCTGAGGCAGCGCGGTTCTTTCAACTCGCCGCGGCCGCCGGCTCGATCTACCCTCAGCAGGGCCTGAAAGTCGGCCAGCAGGCAATGGTAGACGGCCGGGCTGGTGAGGAAGCGCGAGCAGTCCCTGGCGAGGCTGGCGGCCAGGCGGGTGAGGGTGGCCCCCTCCGTGAAGACGCCCGCGGGGCCTGTCAGGGTGACCAGCAGGTGCAAGTAGCGAAGGAAGAGCTGCTCGCTGCTCAGCAGCACGTGGGCCTCCAGGCGTTCCCACAGCTTCTGGTTGTTCTGGCGGCTCAGACTGGGCTCGGCGGGAGGCGCCTGCCAGCTGCACCTCAGCTCCTCCAGGATGACCTCGATGAGGCGGAGCCGGTTCTCGGGGGGCACCGGCGCGGTCAACCCGCTGCTGGCCAGCCGCTCGGCGACCTGGCGGCACAGCGAGGCGGCCGTCGGCTGTGTGCGAGGCAAGGCCTGCAGCCAGTAAACAATCTGCGAGTCGGGCTTCTGCGACTCTCCAGGCGTCGCCTTGCGTGGAAAGAGCGACAGCGGTTGCAGTAACTGGTGGTAAAAACGCTGGAGATCGGACGTCCGTTCCTGGGAGTCCATCTTGGTGCCAGCCGAGCCCGCAGCCGCCGCGCAAGGAGGTTATACCGTTACCGTGACGACCAGAGGCGGGCGGGCCCCACTGCGCCTGCGCACCCCGGGCGCCCCGCCCCGTAGACGTTAGGGAGGAGACTGCGTGCTTACGCACCAGGGGGCGGGGCTACAGGCCGGCGCGTCTACGCTTCGGTGCTCGCGCTTTCGCGCTGCTCCGGGCTTACGCGAAGAGTGGCTCGGGACCTGCGGCCAGTGACAGGTCCCAGGATGGCGTCGGTTCCGGGGGACAGCGGGACCGCTTGCACGGTGAGAGTCGGGGCTTCGCGGGGGAGCCTCAGCCGCTGCGGTGATCTTTGCCTCGCCAGGGACGAGGCGTGATCTTGGGGTGTCAGCAGGGCCGGTTACCAAATAGGTGGGCTGAGCTTGGGCTTACTTGGGTTTAGTAGTGAAGAATTGCACATGCGTGTGTGGTGAGCGCCGGGGAACTGCGCACTATCGATCAGCAGAGGTAGCAGGAGTGCTGGGGGGCGGGGCCTGGCGGGTGCTGGCATGATCCTGAAGAGGGCACCGCGGAGAGGGCACGTGGAGCGTGACCCCCAGGCTGTAAGGATGGCCCTAGTGGAGGTGATGTAACCAGGTCAGGCAACGTCACTTCTGACCCCAGCTCTCATCGGCCTGCCCCTACTGTCCTTGCAGCTGGAATTCGCTGTGCAAATGACCTGTCAGAGCTGCGTGGATGCGGTTCGCAAATCCCTGCATGGGGTGGCAGGTAAGAGTTCCAGGTGGACAGCTGTACCTAGACCTCCGTCAGGGGCTAGGTGCAAGCTCTTCCAGCAACTCAATTCCCATTTCACAGATACAGAAACTGAGACCTAAAGAGAGGGAGGAATTGTTCAAAGGAGTCGGACCTCACCTCTATACCTGATGAATGAGTAGGTGGCAACTGTCTTGTCTGTCTCAGTGCCTGAACCTCGGGTATCCTGGAGCCTGAGGAATCGGCTGAAGGGGAGCTCTGGACTAAAGAAAGAATCCCGGGAAGGCAGTCCTTGCTAGAGAAACAGCAGGATCTTGATTAAGCAAATAGCAGCCCTGGCTATGTAGCATCCTTAGTGGCACCTGGTACCCAAAAATCCTCTGGGTACCTCGGGATGACCTGGCATAGGTGGAGAGATCTGAGGCAGCAGAGCCACCAGCACTGAGCTGGGAACAGGCTTCCTTGGATCCTGCTCAGTATCCACCTAGGCATTCAGCAGGGGCCCAGCCCCGCTTGTGGGCCACCCTGGGTGCTGTAGGGAGCCATTTCCCTTCCCTACAGGGATATCAGGCTCCGGGGTAAAACGTGAGCTTAGGGAGGGAATGAGATGAGAGGGGCTGGGAGCCTGGGACAGTGGTGGTGGCACGGGACCACCCTGTAGGACAGCAGTGTGTCCCAGTAGTTAGAGGCATGAGCCCAGACTGTTGGAGTTCACACACACCCTCTTTGCCACTTCATAGCATCATGGCGCGTGTGAGGGTTTTTTTATGCCTCTGTTTCTTTCACTTTTAAGCGGAGACACTCATAGCACCTCGCCTGGAGGCCAGTGGTGACAAGAAGCTTAGTGAAGACCCAGACGTCACTTGAGCAAAGTCTCTGGCGTGTAAAACCTCGCAGTTGAGTGGGTTCCAACGGACCCAGGCCCCTCTGTGGGGTTTCTGAAAACAGTGGGAATCTTTCTCCATCTGGCAGAAATCTGTCTCCCAGAGCTGCTGCTCTAGGAATATCCCCAGGTGGATGGCTTTCCCAGTAGAAGTTTATTTTTGAAAAATCTAAGAGGCCTGACGTCCAAATTCAGGGCTGGCTTTCTCTCTCTGGTCAGTTCTGAGGGGAAGCTCTTTGTCTCTGCAACTAGTTCCCTGGGGCCTTGGAGAGCCGTGTGACTGGTCCACCGTCTTCTTCCACATCTGCTTCCTTAATCTGCTCCTTCATATTCTATAGGGAGCCCTGGTGGCATCGTGGTTGCCTATTGGGCTGCTAACCACAAGGTCAGCAGTTTGAAACCACCAGCTGCTCTGCGAGAAAAAGATGAGGCTTTCCACTCCTGTGAAGAGTTAGAGTCTCTGGAGAGCAAATGTTTTGAGAATGATGAGGGCAATGAATATACAAATGTGCTTTGCACAGTTGACGTGTGTATGGATTGTGATGAGAGTTGTATGAGCCCCTAATAAAACGATTAAAAGAGTTACAGTCTCCAGGAGCTAATACCAAGGGCTCAAAGAGAAAGAAAATGTTTTGAGAATGATGATGGCAACATGTACAAATGTGCTTGATATAATTGATGTATGGATTGTTATAAGAGCTGTAAGAGACCCCAGTAAGATGATTTATTAAAATTAAAAAAATTTTTTAAAGGAAAAAAAATGTTACAGCCTCGGAAACCCACAAGGGGCAGTTCTACTCAGTCCTGTAGGGTTGCTGTGAGTCATGGAATTGACTGGTTGGTAGAGTTTGAGTTTCTTGAGCTATTTTATGAGGGATTAACTCAGCACCCACCCTACGCTCAGCCTGTCTCATGCACACAAGAAAGACAATCCTTTCATCAATGGCTCCATAACCACAGGCCTAGCTAGTTGGTTAGGATTAACAACCTTTGTGTTTGTGGGGGTGGGGGTGGTGTACAGTTTCATCCATTACAGAGGGCTTGCACAGGATAGACTGGGTGGGCTGGTGAAGAGACAAGACCTTGAAGCTGGGTTGGTCTGATCTCTGATTGGAGTGCCCGCTATGGAGTGGGACAGGACTGATGTGTGGAATGTTCTGAGCAGCGCTGTCCCAGGCTGTGAGGCCCTGCACGTCCTGTAAGCGTTCTTCCTGAGAGCCAGCAACAGCTAGGCATTCCTTGGACTGGGTTCCGCCCTCAGCTGACTTTGCAGGCCCCAGATAACGACTATGTGATCTGCTCTGGAGAGCTGGGGCAGCTTGGGTTTCTCTTGGGCTGGGCAGGGAAGTTGTCGTTTCCCAGAATTCATAGATAGCCCTCTCTGGGGCCAAGGTTCCAGGGTTAAGTGGGAGGGGCTCTTGCCCAGGGCTCACTTCCTGGAGTTCCCTGTGGCTCTGACTGATCTGAGGCTCCAGCCTTTTCAGTGGAACGCAGGTGAAGCGTTCTGGAGAGGCAGAACTGCAGGGAGCGTCCAGTCCTCCCACTTTGGGAGCAGAGAGCACCTCTCTCCAAACCACACAGCGACTTCCTCTGTGGGCTCCCTGTGCCCCCCTTGGTCCCCTAGCAGCTTTCCCACCTACAAGCCAGAGGTATACAAAACTCTGAAGGAAAACAACCGCCCACCTCGAATCAGCTACCCAGCAAAAGTGCCCCTCAAATATGATGCTGAAATGAAGCTATCTCCGGATACACAGGAAGGACAGGAATTGGGGGAAATTCCTTACAAGAAACAAAAAGGAGTTCTTCAGCTAGGAAATCAACCATGGCCAGCAACAATCTGAGATCGATAAACAGGACACCACCACCCAGAAGTCAACCCCGAGATAAACAACCAACCAGTAACCCCACTTCTGACTCCTATCAGTGTCCAGAGTGAAATAAACCGACCAGACTGAAAATAGGCATCCAGAGAGGTCTACCGGGCCTGGAGACAACTTCAGAGTAAACACTGGGGATGGTACAGAACTTCCAAAGCGAGAGGAAGCCAAGTTGGTTTCAAACACTTGGGTGAAGGGGCCGCGGGCAGTGTCCAGTAAGAGGGAGGTTGGTAGAGAAAGTGCAGGTGGAGGAGGACCCTGCGAGTAGTGCCAGAATTAAAGACAACAGAGGTAAGGGCTGTCAAATACACCATTCTGCAATGACAGTGTCTATGAGTGGAGGCGTAGGTAGACCTTGGGCTGAATGGGTATGGAAGGGAGCGGGGGGAGCATGTCCACAGATACATCGGTAGGGAAGGAGGGAGATAGGTAAGTAGGTAGGGAGGGACATACCTAAGTACATGTATTTGACAGATAGTATTTGTGCTTGTGTGCTTACCTCCACTGCAACTATATCCATGGATGTCCTGGAGCCTACAGGAGTCAAAGTCATGAAAAAACACACACAAAAACGTCTTGGCCACAGCCACACATAGAGAGGGGTTGAGTCTGTGGTCCTGGAAGCACAGGACCCTAGTGTTAGGGGACATTAGGGTCAACTGGCATATCATGGTCCACAAAGTCTACATCCTATGTTGATGAGTAGTGTCTGGGGTCTTCAAAAGCCATTTAAAGTGTGACTATTGGTCTCTCGTGGAGCAAGGACAAGACAATCAGACATGGAAATGCTTAGCCCAATGGCCTAATAGACTACTCAAACGATTGTCTCTATGACTGGAGACCAGAAGTCTTCAGTGGTACCTGGCTGCCGTGACTGTTTGCAAAGATCCCTTTCGAAGATCCTGGGTAGAGTGTATGTGGGTGGGTAGCTGTGGCCCAGAGCTCGAAATCATAAAGGAGGCCAGGTTTGCTGGTGGCTAGAGACTGGTGGACTTGGTCACTCTTGTGTCTGAAACTGAACTCACACCTGTGGCTCAATTTTCAACCAAACACTAGACCTATAGGGAGACCAATAACCACTAGTGATGTGTGGGATCCAGGGGGCCGGCCGCCTTTGCCCAGGGACACAGTTCCAAAGGAGGAAAGGCGGAGAAGGAAGGAGACGGGCGAGGTGATGTTGTGTTGGGGGAGGTGGCCATGCGTGTGATGAAACAGAATGTAAATGAATCGTCCAATGTAAAACCGATGTCCTGCCCTGTTAACGTTCACCCGATTCACAAGAAAAAAAAAAGTTGAGAGAAAAAAAAAATTGGAGAGGGATTCTAAGATTAGGGACCCTCCCAGGCTGCCCAGCTAGAAGGTATATAAGCCAGCACCCGGGAGCCCTGTTTCCTGCGTGGCCTGGTAGTCTGCAGCAGGGCTGGGAACTGGAGTCTGTTTCTCTCGTCTCCGGGTCCAGCACAGCGCTTCCCAGCCTGCGGTTGCCCTCTGCCCTTTCTCCTCTCAGGCGTCCAGAGCGTGGAGGTCCAGTTGGAGAACCAGATGGTCGTGGTACAGACCACCTTGCCCAGTCCAAAGGTGCAGGCCCTCCTGGAAGGCACCGGGCGGCAGGCAGTACTCAAAGGCATGGGCAGTAGCATATTACGTGAGTAGCCACTGTGACCTTGGTCTTGCTAGTTGGGGAGGAAGTGGGGCTGGATCCGGGGCCAATCAGGCTCTCCATCCAGGGCCAATGGGCTCTGGACTGGAGTGGCTTTGGGGAAGGTGTGAAGGGCTACGGGGTTCTGTCCATGAAGGGGAGGCGGGGCTGGTGATGGAGTGATCCACTTGGGTGTCCGCTGCCTTGCAGAGAATTGGGAGGCCGCGGTGGCCATTCTGGAGGGGCTTGGCCCTGTGCAGGGGGTGGTGCGCTTCCTACAGCTGACCCCTGAACAGTGCCTCATCGAGGGGACCATTGATGGCCTGGAGCCTGGCCCTCATGGCCTCCATGTCCATCAGTACGGGGACCTGACCAGCAACTGTGCCAGGTGAGTGGTCTGGAATCTCCCTGGGAGCATCTTCATCCCACCCGTCGAACACCTGCTGGGCCAGGATTTCTGCTCACACATTTCCACACTGGGTTCTCACTGGTGCCCAGTGAGGTACACGCACACATGCCCAGCTTAGACAAGGAAACACGCGCAAAGAGATGAAGCAACTTGCAAGGCAACTCCTGTATCACAGTATTTGTCATACTGTCATGTGGCTAGATATTGACTCACCTGTGCCTTCTCTTGGACCAGAGCTCCCTGAGGGAAAAACCATGACTGATTGTCATGGCTCCCTCTTCTCAGAGCCCAGCACAAAATGAGCCAGTTTATCGAATGGATGGATAGATGAGTGGGTGGGTGTTTGGATGGCTGGATGATGGGTGGGTGGGTGGATGATGGATAGAAGGACAGG